GGTCGAACTGCTCATTCGTGTTATTTTTACGGTCGGACTGCTCATTCTTATTATTTTCACGGTCGGACTGCTCATTCTTATTATTTTCACGGTCGAACTGCTCATTCGTGTTATTTTTACGGTCGGACTGCTCATTCTTATTATTTTCACGGTCGGACTGCTCATTCTTATTATTTTCACGGTCGAACTGCTCATTCGTGTTATTTTTACGGTCGGACTGCTCATTCTTATTATTTTCACGGTCGGACTGCTCATTCTTATTATTTTCACGGTCGAACTGCTCATTCGTGTTATTTTTACGGTCGGACTGCTCATTCTTATTATTTTCACGGTCGGACTGCTCATTCGTATTATTTTTACGGTCGGACTGCTCATTCGTATTATTTTTACGGTCGAACTGCTCATTCTTATTATTTTCACGGTCGAACTGCTCATTCGTATTATTTTTACGGTCGAACTGCTCATTCTTATTATTTTCACGGTCGAAACGCCTAATTACGGACCGTTCGTTCTTATTATTTTTACGGTCGGAACGTCTGATTACGGACCGTTCGTTCTTGTTATTTTTACTGTTGAAACGCCTGATTACGGACCGTTTGTTCTTATTACTTTTATGGTCGAACTGTTCATTCTTATTATTTTCACGGTCGAACTGCTCATTCTTATTATTTTTACGGTCTAAACGCCCGATTACGGACCGTTCGTTCTTATTACTTTTATGGTCGAACTGTTCATTCTTATTTTTACGGTCAAACTGCTCATCCTTATTATTTTTACGGTCGAGTTGCTCATTCTTATTATTTTCATATTCGACCGCACTATGATTTAGATTATTTTTTTGAGGGAACTCATGCTTTTGCTCATCTTTATAATCCATTTTTATTTTTCTGGGTAGCGAGAGCTTTTTTTAAATATAAGAAACGATTCTTCTGAAAAACTAGTACGTACAGGAAAAAGCTTAACATGCAGTATAACGATAAACTGTACATGTACTATGTTGTTGCTGTCTTGATTTTATACTGAATGTACATGTATTATGCTAACGTACAGTAGTACGTAACATAAATTTACTAATTTCCCCAAGTTCTGATTGGTTGAGGATATTAAAGGTTAGTTTGAGCGTTAGGTAAGGGTTAGGGATAGAACTGGAGAAAAATTTATAGGTATAATTGTCTTCCCGACATTTTTTATTAGTGCTTCGAGCCAGGTTTACCCATTTGTTTTCTGTATTTTTCACATTATTCGCCTTTTTAATTTTCTTGTTTTTCCAGGATGATCAAAAATTTATGCATCTTTATTGGTTGATTTAGAAGACCCGGTGTGCAGTCAACCAATCAGAGATGGAAATTACTTGTATCCAATCAGAACTTGGGGAAATTAGTAAATGCGTAACGTATCCATATATCAAGTGTAAACGTAAAGTACAAAAATTTTCCAAATACGTACAATGAATCGTTCACTTTAGGACATAATATCTCGATGTCTAGTGATCCAATTTGAGCCAAATACCACCATTTGATTTGCATAAATTAGAAAAATCGGATGGTAGTATTTTCACTCAAATTGGATCACTAGACGTCGAGATAGCATTTATCATGATCCTCCACATTTATTGAATCTGGGACAAGTTCCGATCCACCTATTTTCCGATCCTGACGATCTATACTAAAATGTTCATTATCCGGTCTGGCAAATAACGATCATTATTACATGTACGTACATGTATACGTATATCGATATTGATGTGTACGTAATTATCGTTATGATTATTATTATTTATTTGACTATCGCTACATAATTTACGACTATGGTGCATAACATCTAAAGTCATCAAACGTTTGTATTTTATAAAATGTATAAACATCTTTACTAATAAGTAAATA